AATTGCTGAGCTTTAGGGTCCTGTGCATACCCTTGTGTTACTTCTTGTAGCCAAGCCGGCTGACACACAGAAATGGCATTGGCCTGTTGAGATGCTCCCAATGGGCGTCTGGACAGTGCGTCTGCGGCATCGTTTTCCGTCCCCTTGCGATAGCATATACGATATTGCAGACCAAGTAATTTTGTGAAGGCCTTTTGTTGCCACGGTGTATGCAAACGTTGTTCCTCTAAATGAACCAAGCTCTTCTGGTCCGTTTTGATGATAAATTCCGAGAATTGCAAATACGGTCTCCATTGCTCAACTGCAAGTACCATTGCTAGATACTCTTTTTCATAGGTAGACAGACCTTTAATTCTTGGTCCCAAGGCTTTGCTCAAATATGTGATGGGATGCCCCTCCTGCTGTAAGACTGCCCCAACTCCATACTCACATGCATCCGTCTCAATGACGAAGGGTTTGGTAAAATCTGGTAAAGCTAGTGTTGGTGTTGTTACTAAAGCAGTTTTTAATGCTTCAAAAGCTTCTCCTGTAGCGGATGTCCATTGGAAAGGAGTGCTTTTGCGAAGTAAATCTGTAAGAGGTCATGCAATAGTGCCAAATTGACGCACAAACCGTCTATAATATCCTGCCAGCCCTAGGAAGGAACGCACTTCTTTGACTGAAGTGGGAACATGCCATCCTTGAACTTGTTGGATCTTATCACTGTTAGTTGATACTGCAGCTGCTGAAATAGTGTGTCCCAAGTACTTCAGCTCCTGCTTGGCAAACTCACACTTGGATCTTTTTACATACCATTGATCTTTGCACAATAGAGCAAACACTTCCCTGAGATGTTGCAAGTGCAGAGCAAAGGATGCACTGAAAACAACAATGTCATCAAAGAAAACCATGGCACACACCCTAAGTACTGGTGATAGGGTCGTGTTCATTGCTCCCAAGAATGTTGCTGGCCCCCCTGCCAATCCACATGGAACGACCTTGTACTCAAAGTACCCAGAATGTGTCTGAAACGCCGTTTTCTGCTCCTCCCCCGGTGCCAGCCGTATCTGCTGATACCCTGCTCGGAGGTCGAGCTTAGAGAACCAACGGGCACCAGCTAATTCATCCAAGATGTCCTCAATGATTGGCACTGGATATCGGCTCACAATAGTCATTGCGTTGAGTCGACGATAGTCTACGCACAGACGCCACGTCCCGTCTTTCTTCTTCACCAAGATGATAGGAGAAGAAAATGGGCTTGTGCTCTTCTGAATAATACCAGCTTTGAGCAGCTCCAACACTTGGCGTTCAATTTCTGTTTGACTTCTGGTTTGTGCCTGTACTGCCGCATGTTAACTGGTTGTGCTCCTTGCATTAAGGGAATTTTATGATCGCAGTCTCTTGACGGAGGTAACTCTGTTGGTTCCAAGAAAATGTCCTCAAATTCCAGTAGTAACTGCACTATGTCAGGTGATAGTTCATGTGCTTGCACTGTCACCTCTGATTCAGCCCCTTCAAAATAGCATAACTGAACTACATATGCCACTGCTGCATTTTTGTTAATACTGCCGAGTTGTGTGCAGGACAGTAGAGCACAAGACCGATTCTTAGCAGCCACTCCTTGCAACACTATGGTGTAGCCACAATTTTCAATTTGCATGCACCTACATGGCCAATCAATCAACATAGGACTGTGGTACTCAAGCCAGTCCATGCCTAAGATCACATCATAAGATCCCAGAGGTAAAACCTTGAAATTGGTGGAGAATGTTTGCCCTTGAGTGTACCACTGACAGTTGAGCACCTCCTGAGTACACTGCAGTTCTGCCCCATTGGCAACATAAACTTTGATAGTTCTTGGCATGTCCTGCACTCCCTGAAGTATGGGAAGCAAGTGTTGAGAGACAAATGAAGCTGAGCTTCCTGAATCCACTAGCATCAACACCTCTTGTCCTTGCAGCCAGCCATGAATTTGAAGGCAACTTGGTGCCTCTGTGCCTGCCACTGCATGAACGGACAAGTGCCACACTTGCTCTGGTTGTGTAGTATCCATTTCCATTGTTGCAGTATCCTCAGATAAGACATTTGTATCACTGGTAAACATGTCGATCAGCTCCTCAATCACATGCAGCTTAACTGTTGGGAGACAGACATGATCGTGCCCCCAACGCTCTCCACACTTGAAACAAAGCCCCTTGGCACGACGGTAATTGCGGAGTGCTGCCACTTTTGCTGCATCATTAGTAGCTCTCGTGCTTTTTGTACCCCAACGATCATCAGCTACAGGTGATGGAGCAGTTGATCTGGATGTAGGTGCTGGTAGCAGAGATGGGTTAGATGGCCGAGCACGCACAGCATAAGGTGAGAAGTCTGACTGCTCCATGCGCTTGTGCCGCTGCCCGTCAGACACCTCTTCCTGTAAAATTGCTAGAGCGCATGCTGTGTCCAGATCCGTTGGCCTTTGCACCATGACCACCGCACGGATGTCACTACGGAGCCCCTCCACGAACCTCGTCGGGAAGTACAGAGGATGAGTAGCGTCAGAGTATGATATCAAATGGTTCATCAGAATTTCAAATTGCTCAATATATTCTGATACAGAAGATGTTTGCTTGAGTGCATAGAACTGTCGGATCAGCAATTGGTGCCGATCGCGACCGAAACGGGTGCACAGGAGGTCACAAAAGGCCTCCCAATCGAGGGGTCCTATTTTTGACTGCACAGACTGGAGCCAAATCGCTGCCGCGCCGGAAAAATGCAATGTGGACGTAGGGACAAAATAAGATGCATGGATTTGGCACATGGAGAAATACTGTTCACACATGGTCTTCCAAATTTTCGGGTTCTCACCCGAAAATTGGGGAAAATTGAGAGATGGAGGCATCTGCCCCATCCCTGCAACGATTTGGCCCGCGGCCACCCCCGGGGTGGATGAAGAGCAGTGAGTGTGTTGAGATAAAGGAGTTCGGAAATCGACCATACCATTGGCCGGAGTGGCCGTCAGGGAAGAATTCCCCCCAACAGCCCGCTCCGTGGGTGTTGCAGGACGCCGTGGCCATCGGGCCCGTGGATCTCGTCCCGCGCGACCGGATCAGGGAGGTCCGGTGCCGCCAATCCACCAGAGATCGCGGACGCCGACGTGGGCGGCGCCGCTTGCAACAACGAAACAGCCTCCTGGAGCTTGGAGAACCGCGCCTCGAGGTCGGGTTTCCACGCCACGAGCTCCTCCACTTGCGCCGTCTGGACGCCAATCTGCGCCTTGAGTTCCTTGATGTCCGCACGCGTGTCGTCGCTGGCTTTGGTAAGCGTCTCCGTGAACTTGTCGAGGTACGATTTGAGAGCCGGATCCATGGTTGCGAAAAGTTGGACGCGAGCGCTCGCTTGCTGGCGCGTCTCCAGCGCGACGGCGGGGTGGTGTGTGGCCTCTGATACCACGTGATAGCAACCCACTCTGATATTACTCTCGATCTAAGGCGAATTGTAGCGATGGAGGTACACAGCTAGAGGAGGAAGACGGGCTCTCCAGATACACACGCAACACACACACGCTGCCGCCGCCGGGTTCAGTCCTGATCCCCTGGATACCCTACTCACCAACTACAGGTGTGACTAAGTACTCACACAGCCTTGGGCTCGAACATATATGAGACCCACTGCGGCCCGCTGAACTTGTGGTTGGGCCGTCTCTCTCTTCTGGGCCGTATGGATCGTGTGCTTCCCGTCTCCGTGTCTTGGGTTGCTGCTGGTTCCCTCGTCAGGTCGCTGACATAGGGCAGGAGGGGCGTGGACGGAGGAGGGGACGAGGAGCGGGGTTCGAGGATGGGAGGGGTTTGGTGGCTCGGTGTGCTAGGGTTTTCACCGTGCGCAAACCATGAACTGACCGAAGAAAAACTATCCAGCCCTCTGTAGAGCGGGGCCAGTAGCAGGCCGGGGCCGGATGTCAGCCGCAACATAGACGCAAGCGGAAGCGAAATTCGGATTGTGAAGATGAAACGGTTAATAAAAGACCAATTGGGTGAACTTGTCGATGAATCGGTCAGCCAACTCCGGTAATCGCCTCTATTAGGCTGGTCATAGTGGGGAGTAACTTAGACTAGTGTCATGCATATGACACTAGTCTAAGTTACTACCTTCATAATGCAAATTAACATAATGCACTATGTTATTAGCTAAGTTACTCCCACTATGACTAGCCTTAGTAAGAAGAGTAATCCCCAGTCCCCACCTAACAATAGAGTAGATCTTTTCTCCCATCCTCCCTCACTCACTCACTCTTCTCCTTTGGTAGAGCTGGTTACTGACAGGTGATTCGCATTCTTTTGGGTAGTAGTAGTCGTAGTAGCTTGTGAAGAATCTTGGGGAAACACCACAGGGACTTTCTTCAGAATCGACAAAAGCAAAATGCAGAGGAGTTGGTGACAAGGAACCAGCCAGCTACTGACCGAGTGGTCAGATTGCAAATGCAGAGGAGTTCCTGTTGAGGAAAGATCCGTCCTCTCTGCTAACCTGGGCGCTAGATCCACTGCTAACTGCAGGTATGTGCAAGTGCAACCTACAGTGTTGACTCACATCACAAGTCGTTTTGCTCTGTTCTCTCTGTTCCTATCCAAGCATGCATTCAGATCTAGTACTACATGTCTATCTATTCTAGCTTGCATTCTGTCACTTATTTTCTACTACATCAATGCGTACTTATCTAGTCTTGGATTTGTTTCGCTGATTCCAACAAGGTATGTATGCTCAGCTCAGCTCTTCCTTTGGTATGCTACATCAATCCTACGACGAACTTTGCATCTCTTTTGCAGTTTCCAGTTCGTGCTACATCTCTAGATCAAGCACCTGCGAGGCGTACACGGATAAGTCGTTGACTCGGGAAGGCCGCAGGCATTCACTTCCTTCTCCATCGTTGCTCAAAGAAAATAGCACTTGCAGCCTTCGGACACGACCAGTTGCTATTGATTAGATTTCCTTTCTCGAATTACCATTTGATTGCACATCTACTTTGTGTAGATAACACAAGAATGGAACAAAATGTCCTGGAGCAAATACTTGAGGGCAGCATGGAGCCAACACATATTCCGCTAGTAACTTTATGGAAAATCACTGACGGGTTTTCCCCGGATAGAATAATCGGTGAAGGGGGATTCGCAACGGTTTATAAGGTATTATTATACTAATTTAGTGTTTTATACTCTACTCCGTAACACGTAGAGATATAGAGGGTGCTTGGATACGTTTTAGTCCCATGACTAAAAGTAGTGGGACTAAAACTTGCTAGCCTCATCCATGCTTGGATACAAATACTAAATAGACTAAAATGAGTTAATGAGCATTTATTATCCTCCAAACCCTCCAATCCCGAACTCGCATGTGTTAAAGGAGAGGAGTTAAATGAGGAGAGAGAGGACTAATCCACATTTTAGTAGGGTTCCCCTGACTAAATTTTTTTAGTCTCAAGACTAGTTCTAGCCTCTCTTTAGTCAGGGACGATTGGAACTTTAGCCTCTAAAAGAGACTAGTTTTAGTCAGACTAAAAATAATCCCATGGATCCAAGCATGGCCATAATACTTGAGTAACAGAGCTGAGTTATTTGGGTAACATGTGTTGTCCGTTGTGGATCCAAATTCATTTTAGTACGCTGCTAACTTTCATCATTTAATGAAATGCTCATGACAAACAGGGTGTTGTTGGGAATTGGAGTGTTGCTGTGAAGAAGATCAGGAGCGTCAAGACAATTGATGACAAGCTCTTTCGTCGTGAGGTTGGCAGCCTACTGGAGGTGAACCATCCAAACGTAGTTCGGTTTCTCGGCTTATGTTCTGATACAGTGGAGACACCAATGAAAAACCCAGATGGCAGAGGATATATTTACGCCGAGGAAAGAGAAAGATTAATGTGTTTTGAGTATATCACTAATGGGAGCCTTGACACAAAAATTACAGGTACACTATTGTTCCATGCAGATAAGAGAAAGATTAATGTCTATTTTGCGCTTTTACTTTTCAAGTCACGGCATTCAAGCTAAATTAACTAGGTGATTTCCCCGCGCGTTGTTGTTGGTTTTTAAAGATTAATTTTGGATAAAATTTGTACGAACGAAATGACCTGAATCAAAAGCTATCATTCTGTAAGCAATTGTGTGTGAACAAAGTGTATGCATATAAGCTGGACCATTGGAGATGGAATAATTAAATTTGGGGTACATGTGCTACAAAATAGTTGTAGTGGGTGATGACATGGCATATTTGGTGATGTGGAGGGTCGCATGTTGAGAGAATTAGAGTTAGCGGGGATAAAGTATTTAGGTATTATAGATGTATTGGAGATTGCATGCATCACTGCTTCTTCTTTTGCAGATGAATTAAGAGGCTTTGAGTGGGATAAGCGTTATAAGATAATTAGAGGAAGTTGTGCGGGTCTACATTATCTACACATGGAAAAACATATTCTTCATATGGATCTAAAGCCTGCCAACATACTACTAAATGATGGACTGGTGCCAAAGATTACGGACTTTGGTCTATCAAGACCAATAGATTGCTCACAAACTATGGCCGAAATGCATTTTTCACTGTAAGATAGTATCTTCACAACCATTCTACACATGTACCCTCTTATATATTGTTTATATCGTGATGCTTGATACTTTCATATTTCATGTAGAGGCTATTGCGCTCCGGAAATCCTGTTTGGTGGTAGGATGTCCCCCAAGTCAGACATGTATAGTTTGGGTGTCATAATCGTCGAACTGGTGACAGGACATAAGGGTACCCCTGATAAGGATAATGTAAGAGTGTTTTATCTCGTGACGGAAAAACACTTCTTTAAGAATCATGTTTCCGTTGCATGTTGTGGCTCCTACTGAACTTGAATACTAACGTAGATTGCAAGCCATATGTAGTTAAAATCTTACATTTACAACAACAAGAGCAATTCCAACTCTCTCTTTGAACCGCATTACATGAACCTTTTTATCTTCTTGATGTGTGGTGTTCCTTTCCCATTTGTCTTGATTGCTCCATCTAAGCAAGCTTTGTTGATACCCAAATTTTCATAGTCGTTGGGCCTAAAAAATTCTCCTTTAAGCTAACTCACATCCATCCTGAGGTTCCATGGAGTTTCTAGTGCTCGACTGGTAGCCAATTTAACATAGTGACAAAACGCTATCACTGCCCCCTCTCTTTAATGCATGCCCTACAATCATTAATTATCCTGAAATCAATAAAGCATTCTAAATGTTGGAAACATGCCAACATCTTCGAGCTTTGAATGGACCAGCTTATACATGTGTAAATCAATCAACAACAACAAATTACTATTGATCTAAATCAAGAATATTTCTTGGAGGCTATACCTTGTGACTAGTGGCGCTCCCAGGTCTTTGCATTTATTCTTAAAATGAAAATACAATTGCAATGAATTTTTAACCTAGCATCCTATTACATACCTTTTCAAGGTTGTATTCTCGCGGCTAGATATTCATAACTAGAACTTATTTGGATATATTTCAGCCAATCTTTTATGTCATTTTTCTTGTGGATCCAATGCTTGTGCAACCAGCCGGTAGCGGGAGCTATATGCTATCTTAGACGAATGTGTGTTTTACCTATGTCACTCTTTCATTATCTACGAAAGCAAACACACTGAAGATGTTGTGTCTCAGTGCAATAGGAGACGGGCGCTATGTCAAATGTTGTCTTGAAGCATTGTTTAATTGAATTGTTTAAAATTTACGAACAATCTTGTCTTACTTAATCATGACTGTAAGATCCATGAATAATCTAAGCCCCAAGAGTGAAAACGAAAATTACTAGAAGAAAAAGAAACAAGTGAATCCATAACCAGAGTGGGGTGAGCACATGAGCTGCCCGCAGAACCGCCATGGTGCTCAATCCGCAATGGGTATCCCTACACTAGGTGATCCCTCTATTTTGCTCCTTGCTAGCTTATCAAGTGCAGATGTCGATTCCTTAGATTTATATGCTTTACTTACGATTTTTACAATCAAAATATTGCTAATTTATAGATTTTAGATGAATACTTATGTTAAATTGTGATCCAAATTATACCGTGTTGGACTAGACGTAGTACAACCGGTGTGGGCTTTTGCGTTGGTACCGACGCGTACGAGTACAACTCGTTTACTTGTCCTCCAAGGACTCTCATGTATTGCTCTCATATATACCCCATGTAGTCGCACCTCAGACGGTCTGTCGTCTCGTGTTTGTAATACTCCTCCTCATAGTGATTGCGCCTTCGTGCGTCCGTGGTTTTCTCCCGCAAGGGTTTTCACGTAAAAATCTGTGTCTCTCGTGTCTCGCTTATTCTCGTTATTATCTAACAAGTGATATACAAAGCCAAGTTACAGATACGAGATTTGAGACGAGAGAATTAGGGTTACGGCGTCCTGTGCGCCGCAGCCGACGCGACCTGGCAAACCGAAAACAGATCGATAAAGGAAGCCGAGTTCGACTGGATTTCCACAAGTTGCCGCTGCTGCGTATATATGCTTGAAGCCCCGAGTACGTAGCATCGCCGAGTAGCTGCTGCTGTTTTGTTCAAGTCCCGAGGCTGGTGCTGTTGCTTCGCATCACGTCAAGCATTGATCGGCTCGTACTACTTCAACTAGTACTAGTAATTGATTCGCACGTCATCAACCGAAGCAAAAGCTAGTAGTACTACTGCTCGCCGGCCAGAAGCAAAGCAGTAGTTTAATTCACACCTGATCCACTACGTGATTTGACTACTAGTATTATTCGTCATGTCAAGCTACAGATCAAGCTTTTGGTCTTCGATTACCCGAGCTACCAGGTGCTAATATTCCTAGTTCTTTGCTCCGCGTAATTTAAATTCTGTCAAGAATTTTTCTATCGACTTGTACTACTTTGTGCACACAGATTTATCTACTCATGGCATCCATGAAGTACGTTTTTCCACTGCTGGATCGTGACACAAGGTTTACCCTATGACAAGTCAAGATGCGGGCGTTGTTGGCACAAGCCGACTATGATGTAGCACTGGATAGTTTTGGGAAGAACCGAATTAAGGACTGGACTGCTGAGGAGAAAAGAATTGATTGTAAGGCTTTGTCACAAACTCAACTCCATTTGCATACTAATATTTTGCAGGAAGTTTTGAGCGAGAAAACTGCCGCCGATCTATGGTTAAAGCTGGAAGGGATTTGCATGACTAAAGATCTCACCAGCAAGATGCATCTGAAGCAAAAATTATTCCTGCACAGGTTACCCGAGAGAGGTAATGTTTTGAATCATGTTTTAGAATTTAAAGAGATTATATCTGATCTAGCTGCAATGGAGGTTAAGTATGAAGAGGAAGATACTGCTCTAATGTTACTTTTTTCACTGCCAAGTTCTTATACCAATTTTTGAGACACCATATTATACAGTCGTGATACTCTCACACTTAATGAAGTTTATGAAGTTTTGAACTCTAAGGAGAAGATGAAATTAATGGTGCCTCATGATGGTTCAAGTTCATCCCAAGCCGAGGGATTATCTGTTCGTGGCAGGACAAAGGAGAAGAACTCACATAATGGAAACAGAGGCAAAAGTAAGAACGGCTACAGGGGCCGGTCACAATCCAGAGACAAGAAATATTGCAGATCTTGCAAGAGAGACGGGCATGACATCTCAGAGTGTTTCAAGTTGCAGAATAAAGAAAAGAGGAAAGGTAACAAACCAGGTGAAAATTCTGCTAACGTTGCTCGTGATGATAGTTCCGATGATGCTCTTGTCGTTATTGCTGGATGTGCTGAGACCAATGATGAGTGGGTACTTGACACCGCATGCTCTTTTCATATGTGTCCCCATAGAGATTGGTTTAATACTTTTGATTCCACTACTTCTGCTGGTTCCGTTTTGGGTTTTGATAATTCACCATGCAAGATTGAAGGCATAGGTTCTATTCGAATCAAGATGTTTGATGGCATAATCAGAACTTTGACAAATGTTCGGTACATTCCAAAGATGAAGAGAAATCTTATCTCTGTTAGTGCCCTTGATGCAAAGGGATATAAGTATTCAGGTGGAGATAGTGTTTTGAAGGTCACCAAAGGCTCCCTTGTTGTGATGAAAGGTGACTTAAGTTCGACCAATGGTCTTTATTACCTTCGAGGTTATACCGTTTCAGGTAACGCTACTCCAGTTATTTCAAAGAATTCTGATTGTGATGCTGCTAACCTTTGGCATATGCGTCTTGGACATATGAGTGAACTTGGTTTAGCAGAGTTAAATAAGAAAGGTCTTCTTGATGGATATGAACCTGATAAATTGAAATTTTGTGAGCATTGTATCTTCGGCAAGCACAAGAGGGTGAAGTTCAACACTTCGACTCATACAACCGAAGGTATTCTTGATTATGTGCATTCTGATTTATGGGGACCATCTCGCAAGAAGTCACTAGGTGGTGCTAGTTACATGCTGACTATAATTGATGATTATTTGAGAAAAGTTTGGCCTTATTTCTTGAAGCATAAATATGAAGCATTCCCAGCATTTAATGAGTGGAAGATTATGATTGAAAGACAAACTGAAAAGAAGGTAAAGATACTTCGCACTGATAATGGTATGGAATTCTGTTCTAAGCAATTTAAGAATTATTGCAAGTCTGAAGGCATTGTCAGACACTACACCATTCCTTATACTCCTCAACAAAACGGTGTTGCTGAGCGTATGAACAGGACCATTATTTCCAGAGCCCGTTGCATGTTGTCCAATGCAGGTTTGCATAGGCGTTTTTGGGCTGAGGCCGCTTCCACTGCTTGTTATCTCATTAATCGTTCACCATATATTGCTCTTAATAAGAAAACTCCAATTGAGGCATGGTCTGGTTCACCTGCTGATTATTCATAGTTGAGAGTTTTTGGTTGCACTGCTTATGCTCATGTTGATAATAGAAAATTGGAGCCTAGGGATGTTAAATGCATCTTTCTTGGTTATAAGTCTGGTGTTAAAGGTTTTAAATTGTGGAATCCTGAAACCTAGAAGATTATTATTAGCAGAAATGTTATCTTTAATGAATCTGCTACGTTACATGATGTTTCATCTACTAATGTTCCCGTTGAGAGTGAACAGCAGCCTACTATTCAGCAGCCTACTATTCAGGTGGAGCATGTTATTGATTCAGGTGTTTCATCTGGTAATAAAATTATTGATGCACATGATGAACCCGCCGTTAATGATGATCATGTCACTCCCACTCCAAATCAGCCTATTGTTCCACCCAGTTGGAATCTCGCACGTGACAGAGTCAGACAGGGTATTAATAAACCTGACATGTTAATTGAAGAGTGCAATATTGTTTATTTTTCTTTATCTGTTGCAGAAGAAATTGAAGGTAATGTTGAACCTTCTTCATATTCCGAGGCTATTATTTCTGGTGATAGTAATAAGTGGATGACTGCTATGCATGATGAGATGGAATCACTTGAAAAGAATGGCACTTGGGATTTAGTAAGATTACCTAGAGAGAAGAAACCTATTCGTTTCAAGTGGGGCTTCAAGAGGAAAGAAGATGTTTCTCCTAATGATGAGACAAGATATAAAGCAAGGTTAGTTGCTAAAGGTTATAGTCAGATTTCAGGTATTGACTATAACGAAGTCTTTTCTCCTGTTGTGAAGCATAGCTCTATTAGCACTTTACTCAGTATTGTTGTCATGTATGATCTTGAGCTTGAACAATTGGATGTTAAAACTGCATTCTTACATGGAGAATTAGAAGAGGATATTTATATGGAACAACCTGAAGGTTTTGTTATTCCTGGAAAAGAAAAGCTTGTCTGTAAGTTAAAGAAATCTTTTTATGGATTGAAGCAATCCCCTAGACAGTGGTACAAGAGATTTGACA